ACCCAAAAAAATGGGCTGAGAATCTCGGCTTATACTCGAGTGTATATACGGTAAAACAAAATAAAATTATTTAAAAAATAAAATGTGTAAAAAAAATAATAAAAAAAAGCACACAACACACATTGTGGTGCACACCATGCACATGCGCTGCAGTGCGTTGTTAGAACGCATCGCAGTGCATGATCTTTTTTATTTATTTTTTTTCTTTAAAAAAAAACATTAAATTAACTGTGATACATAAGTCGATTATTTACAGTTTTGCATACCTTCATTTTTTTACCTTTTCGCAAAAAGGCGCAATTACAAATTTGCTAATATTTGTTATTTATTAACTCAATACAGTTTTATCTTTTTAGATTTAGTCAAAAAATATTTTTTTTTGTGCACAGATACTGATTTTGGTGTGTTTTAACAATTGAATTGTGTATTTTTATCGGTTTAATATTAATTTGAGAAACATTTGCGCAATTATCGCAGGGCCTACAAATTTAGTATCACCATCTTTTTATTCTACCGGGCCTGCGCTTTCAGAAAATATATGGTTTGGGGGGTCTTTTACAAACGCTAGCAACGCAGCAGTTGAAAATCAAATCAATAGGAAAAAATTGCAGAAAATTCAAAAATGGCTTGGCCAGCTGATTTGAAAAATGTTCCGGAGGGCTTGGCAGCGAAAGGGTTAAATGTTGAAAGTGAGTTTCCTGTAAAAGGAGCACTTGGACATGTTGCCTATGCATATAATATAGCACCTGTGATCTTTTCTCAGGAATATTCAATCCTCTCACATTAAACGATCCAAATTTCATAGTCATCATATTTTATTCAACTCCTTCCTTTGCCACGCCTTCTCAATCAGATCACCCAGGAATAGAAAGAAAAACATAAAAACCACACCCATCCACACCACATACTTCCCAACAAACCATACGCACTTGACTCTCATACCTAATCTAAACACAAAATTACTCAACATAGTAAAACGAGCAAAAGCGGACACTCCCCAGGTATCCCCTGTGTCCCTCCAACTCTATCCTATTAGGGGGTTGAAACTAACCACTTCTCCTGCACCCACTTCCATTCACATCCCATTGATTTCATATTCTCTCCCCTTATTCTTTTTTTCTGAGAACCTATAGAACCATTTCTATCTATAACACCTCTTTGACCCAATTAGGATATGGAACAGATAAACTACAAAAACCTAAATTAAAAAAATCCATATACATACATATACCCACACTTACATACATGCTAACATATACAAGGCTCAAAATCTCCACTCGCCCCCTCGCCATCCGCGAGCGAAAACCGCGAGGGGAAACAAAGCCATTGAGTCAGACACTCAGTCGTGGACCGAGTGCCCAACTCCCGGAGGGATCCTAGATAACTTGCCGTACGCCGCTGCTCAAGCCGAGCATCTTCCCATACCAAGGATGGCCGCTTGACGGCCGCCATCCCTACTAAGGTCTTTTCTTGTATCCTAACGACAGCATAACCTCCTGCCTGCGCACAAGGATTATGGAAGCTGTAGTTTCACTTTTACATCACCACCGTGACAGCAATGGGTAAGTGTGTCACGTAGGGGGTATTGGGTTAGTTTGTATTGTTGCGGTGGAATTAAAACATTGCTTGTGCCCTTACAGTGGCCCGCCAGATATTCTGCCAATCCTCACGTGATGGAGAAGAATTAGATTTGGCATCCCAGGGAGTTTGATGCAGTTTATTTACCTTTTTTGTTTAGAAGATGCAGAAGGTGAAGAGCAGATCATGCAGATCAAGCATATCCATGGGATCAGTTCAGCTTGAGCTATGCTTCCCCCCTCATCTGCTTTGCAGGATCAAGATGGAGAAATGTCCCATGATCCTCATTGCTCTGAACTGACCAAGGAGATTGTGGCACTCCAACATACTCTGGTTCCTGGTGGATGCGTTGTGGGCAGATGCTCCTGGTCCATTCCAGACCTTCTGTCTCAACCATCCAGTTTCTCAGTTGCTGGCTTTTATGGCCTGGCTACTGAAAGCCAAGTCCTGAGGGACAGGGGTCACTCAGATTCGATCATTCTTATGGCTTGGTAAGGCGAGGAATTCAAATTCTTGCAAAGTTTACTATTGCTCCAGGAAGGCTTACTTTGCTTGGTGCAAAGTTCCATCTTAGGAAGTACTATGTGGGATGTATCCTGTCTGGAATGAACATTTGGGTTTGGGCAACATCAAAGGGCAATTCTTGGCCTTGGCTATCCTTTCTCATTGGCTGTCATTCTCCCTCTTTGGTGTTTACATTGCTCCACTGTGCGATCTCAAACTGTTTCTGTTGACCTTTATTTGATGTTACTTGCAAAGTTACTTGCCTTGTTGCGGTCTTTTCTGTTCGACAAGTCTGAGTTGGCTACCATATCCTGTAAGAAACCCTACTTCGTGTTGCACAAGGATAAGTTTGTTTAAGGCCCTAGCTCTCGTTTTTTTTTTTTTTCTTAGGTGGTCTCTTCTGCCTTAACCATTGCATTGTCCTTCCTTAACTTTGTCCTGCCCCTAAACATACTAAGGAAATGTCTGTTTGGAATGGGTATGTGCTATGCGAGACTGCCTCTGCTACAGCTTCCTTTAGGCAATCTGATTCCCTTTGTCCTTCCTGAAGGTTCCCATAAGGGACTCCCTTCCTCTCAATCCACCATTGCCCATTGCTAGGTGGATTAGAGAAGTAATTTCTCAATCCTATAGTCTAAAATAGGGTTCCATCCTTCACTGCTAAGGTGCACTCTACCAGATCTGTGGGTGCTTCATAGCCCTTTTAGAATCGGGCATCTTTTTCTCAGATTTGTAAGGCCAAGGTGGCCAATCGAGAAGCTGGACGGCGAGCCATTACATGCCGCCGGGCTTCCGTAATGGAATTTCCGTTATCTGTATTCGGTGAGTAAGGAAAAAAAAAATATCGGTACTCTATACCGGAAAACTGGTAGTGCATCCCTAGTTAAGATATACCGATTTTTATAGATTACTTTGCACTTATTTAATGATTCGTTTAACTTTATTGTAATTATCTGCATATCTAATTACATACACGTTCAAATCTGTTGCAACGTTTCTTACCTGGAGATCCTGTCAGCAATGGCACTTCTGTTGCAGGATGATAGTGGTTAGCCAATGCCTTGCAATTGACAGCAGCAATGTAAAGGTGCCCATACACTGCACGATTTATCGTACGATAATCGTATGCGATCGGTTTTCCGTACGATAATCGAGCAGTGTGAACGGAGACGTGCGACCGTTTCTACTGTACGGTCGCACGTCTTCTGTCGAACCAGCATGTTCGAAAACCAGCCGGGAATCGTACGATTCTCGGACATAAATGCTCCTTCACTTGACTGTTCAGCATCCGCTCCTTGGAATTTATCTGTCGAATTACTTGCTTGGTATTATGTATTTCTAGAATACGAGGCTACTAGAAACTAGAGATTTTCACAAAGATTGGTGTATTTAAACTGGGATGCACCGATACAGTTTTTTTTGTTGTTTTAGTATAGAGTACCGATATTTTACTTTTGGTACTCGCCGACCCAGAGTACCGATACTGGTGCTTCTGTTGGCATGGAGCTGGCTTCCCGCGCAATCTGGAAGCAAACTGCCTGATTGCCCGGGAAGCCGGCTCCATGTAGTTTGGCCAGCTCGATTGTGATTGGCTTGGAAACTGGCTTCCCAGCCAATCTGCATCGAGCCAGCTTCCTGATTGGCCGGAAACTTGCTCCATGCTAGCTTCCGAGCCAATCGGCAAGGAGCCTGCTGTTCCGCTGGCTGGATGCTGATTGGCCATGAAGCCAGCATCCCAGCCAATGAGGAAGCTGGGAGGCAGGTCATTACTCGCCACCCGGCTTCCTGATTGCCCAGGGAGCCGGCTCCATGTTGCCCTACTGCACTGACGGTCAGAGGAAATTTTCTTCTGACCGGAAGTATCGGCACTGATGGTAGTATCGGTGCATCCCCAATTTAAACTTTGATAAATAAAATGTAAAAAAAAATAGGCTCTGAAGTATTTCTAAATACTTTTTAGTCCACCTTTTGTAAAAAAAAAAAACCCCACATACTCAATGTTGTGGTTTATTGCTTTTATTGTACCACTGCTTGCTACAAAATAACTTTATTTTTTTCCCTTTCTTTTTACATCCCACACTTAATTTGCCAGTAAAGATTTTTTAAATGGACAACTCGCCATATTCAAAGACTAGTTATGGTCAAGCAGCAGCAGAAGGCTCAAATTGGGCAGAGGGTCAACAGAAAAATGCTTATGCTAGACTGGTGCAGCAGCATCACAGTGGACGTTTTAAATTCTACTTAAACTACATAGCACAAAAACTGCAACAGGAAGAATGTGCTCATGGAGATCCTGTTTGTGACAAAGATTCGGCTTTTGTGGGTGCCATAAAAGATGGTCAAGGGAAAAATGGAATGAGTGCATGTGGTTCAAGGCCTGAGAAGGGGTCGGAACCAGGATTCACCAGCAAAAATCGTGTGGCAGCTATACAAAAGCACCAGCATTGCAGAGATAGCAATGAAGATGAAGATTTAGATTTGGGAGAAAAATGTAATACTCGTGCCTCTCACAACCGCAGCAACCTGCCGTCTTCAAAGGGCAGTCATGATTATGACTGTAAAAAACCTCGGCATGACAAAGAAATGTTCAAGTCTCACCATGATGCTAAAAGCATTTCAAGAGAGCGACTTTCTGAAGGTATGGTTTCAGTGAAGGGCTGTTGGCAAAAATTATAATGTGTTTGTGTATATATACAGTATATATTATATTTTTTGCATTGCTATGAGGGGATCAATATTTTCTGCCTTGCTATGAGGTGATCAATATTTTTCCTTTTGCCACATCGTTCGACAGAAAACTGATGCAGAGCTTTTATATAAAGTTCACGCAGGCTTAGCTGGCACTTTTTTTTTAATTTTGCAAAGACATAGTATGACGATTTAAAATTTGCTTTAGCTCCTTTATTGTACTCTTGTGCAGAATACAATTCTTTTTTTTTTTTTTTCTGAAGCCTAAATGGAGGGACTCCATTAGGGGAAATGTATCAAAAGGGGAGCAGACAAATTCTGGAGCAGTTGCCCATAGTATCCACTTCTCTCCTCAGTTCAGTTAGGCTCTGGCAATGAAAGAGAGAAGCTGATTAGTTGCACAGCTTCTCCAGACTATGTTCCAGTTTTGATAAATTTCCCTCATGTTTTCAGTCCTAAGAACTCAAGCAGAGCGATTTTACAAGTAGAGCCTTTTGGAAATTTTCAGTGGGTTTGGTTGTCAGTTTTAAGTGTTTTATTCACTCAGTTGCATAGATTCAGGTACATTGAGCTAGAAATAATCAATATCTAGGGGCCAGGTACTCAATGTACATATATATATATATCTCTATCTTTAGCAAGCTATGATTGCTTAAACACACAAGAAGCCGGGCTCCTGGTAATTCTCACTGTTATAGCATAGCTAAATGTATGACTAAAACTGATTTATGAATAAAGCAAGACATTAGGAGTCTGGGTCTAGAAACAGAAGGATAATAATCTTTTACTTCTGTATATGTCCAATGCAATGGAGTAGAGAAACTGCTCTTGGTGGCACGAAGAAAAGTGCGAGTTCACATTGTAACTGAAAAACCCTATATAGGTTTTTCCACCCCATAGACTTTAGATGCGTGGCATTGGGGAAGGGTGTGTGTGTGTGTGTGGCCGTGTGCTCTATAGTGATTTTGTATTTTATTCCTCTTCCCCAATCACTATTTTGCTGCACTTAAGTTTCCAGGGTTGGTACAGGCTGTATAAATGTTGGTTTCTCAGTACCCTGGTTTACTGTAAGGGTGCTTAGGTCAAGAGCATAAGAAAGGGTAGACCTAGTGACGTCCTAGTAATAGCAGTGAAATCTATTTCTGTATTTCTCTGACAGCATGCAGTGTAATCCTTTTGGATACAGGTTAGTATAAGAATGGAAAATCTATTTTCTGTAATGCCGAAAGTTTTAAACTCCAATGAGGTTGGCCTTTTAACAATGAGGCTACCATTAGCTTAATCAGGCGTCGGTCTCATGCTTTGGTTATTTTTGCCACATGTTGAATCCTTTCTTGATAGTAGGATCATGCATGTAGTGTGGCCATCAATCAAGTGTGCCTGAATATTTTTGTTTTTTCTTTTATAAATTTCAGTTTGGCAGTCTTTTTGTTTTTTGTTTATAGAGGGCTTAACAAATAATATGCACTTCAGAAGCTAGCTTGCATCAGTTATTTTTAAGCCCCTGTGGAACTTTTTTGGTACTCAATAGTGGCCTAGGCTCTAAAAAGTTAAAGGAGAACTATGAAGTAAGTGATTTTCACTCAACCTCATAGTTCGAGTCGATGTGCGACAATGAAACTGTCACAAGTCGGCTCTATAGATAGGGAAGTGAGTGAACGCATACAGTCGCTTGCTCACTTTCCGATCAACTCCCTGCGGAGAGCGCCAACCGTTCCCACCGTTTAGGGATCCTCCCTGCTCCGATCCTCCAGCACTGACTGGAGGAACGGATGGGGGAGGCGGCGGGCACTGCTGGCTCTGCCTCTAGGTAGGCAGAGCCAGCTGTCACGCAGTTGGGCGGATCCGCACAGTATTGTCTGAATCCGTTCCGGCTGCTGCGCTCTTAGTATGCCTGCGATATATTGAGCTTTGGGTCACAGGAGGATGCTAGTAGATGTCCTTCTTTGACCCTTAAGGAGAACTATGGGATAAAAAGGTTACCCCATATTTCTCTTAAGTATGTTAGAAACTGAACAGCAATGTATTTCACAGCAATATACTGTATAATGTAAGGTCATTTTCATAACCACTTAGGTGCTAAAGTTGTTTTTCAAAATTAGTAGCTGCTTTTAAAGTAAATGATTTAAAACTTTTATTTTTTTAGATTAGTTTTAGATGAGTGTGAAAGGATTAGAACCCATGTCAGGCCCTTACTGTCTATGTGCCCACTGAGACAAATTGAGGGAAAATCTAAAATGTGTTTAGAGCTGCAGCTAACGATTATTTTCAAAATCGATTAGTTAACAGATTATTGAGTTCGATTAATCGGATAAAAAATTAAAATAAAATACATTTTAAAAAATGCTCCAGTGATGGGACGACTAGTTTGTATTGGGAGCAGTCCATCACAGGAGCAAGCTTGGAGCGGTAAAAGTAAATAAGAAGAAAAAAAAGTGTGGCGTGCAATATAGTGAAATGAAAAGTGTAAAATTATATAGCAATAAATGCAGAATTGCACCGGCTATAGAGGACTACAAATCCCAGCAATAGTACATTATACAGCACAATACAGAATCCCACCAGCTACAGAGGAGCACAACAAATCACAGCAATAATATATTATACAGCGAAATGCAGAATGCCACCAGTTATATAGGAATACAACAAATGCCAGCAATACATTATAGCTGGCGGTATTCTGCATTGCGCTGTATAATGTACTATTGATGGGATTTGTAGTCCTCTATACAGCGCAATGCAGAATACCACCAGCTGTAGAGGGATACAACAAATCGCAGCAATAGTACATAATACATACAGTGTATAATGTACTATTGCTGGGATTTGTAGTCCTCTGTATAATATACAGCACAATGTACCATCAGCTATAGAGGAATACAAATCCCAGCAATACATTATAGAGAACCATGTGGGTGGGAGTGCAGGCTTACCTGAGCAGTCTTCCAGCAACTTGCTTCTGAGATAGGGCCTGTCTGTCGGCAATTGTCAACCCGCTAGGGCTGCAACAACTAATCGACATAATCGATTATTGAAAAAGTTGTCAACTTTTTCATTCATCGATTTAATCAGCTTCCGATTGGTTGGCCCTGTTCATGGCTCAACACACGCTGCGCGCTACACCTCCTCCCCACCTCACGCTCGCCACTGCCAGACCCGCCCGGTCGCATCCACGCTCCACAAGCCGGAACTCCTCCCCGCTCGCCCGCCCACATCCACGATCGGTACAGGGACGCGGGGAGAAGAAGTAAGGAGGATGGGTGGGTGGATGCCAGCCGCTGATAGACAGACCCGATCTCAGAAGCAAGTTACTGGAAGACTGCTCATGTGAGCCTGCACTTTCCCACACATGGTGCTCTACAATGTATTGCTGGGATAGTGGGATTTGTATTCCTCTATAGCAGATGGTACATTCTGCTGTACTGTATATTATACAGAGCAATGTACCATCAGCTATAGAGGAATACAAATCCCAGCAATACATTATACACTGTATGTATAATGTATTGCTGGGATTTGTTGTATTTCTCTATAGCTGCTGGTATTCTGCATTGTGCTGTATAGAGGACTACAAATCAAGGAATAGTACATTATACAGCGCAATGCCACCAGCTATAGAAGAGTACAACAAAAGCCCAGCAATAGTACATTATACAGTGGTGCAATGCCGAATACCACTAGCTATAGAGGATTACAAAACCCAGCAATAGTACATTATACAGTGCAATACCACCAGCTATAGAGGAGTACAACAAAACCCAGCAATTGTACATTATACAGTGGTGCAATGCCGAATACCACTAGCTATAGAGGATTACAAAACCCAGCAATAGTACATTATACAGTGCAATACCACCAGCTATAGAGGAGTACAACAAAACCCAGCAATTGTACATTATACAGCTCAATGCAGAATACTTCCAGATATAATGTACTATTGCTGGGATTTGTTGTATTCCTTTATAGCTGGTGGTATTCAGCATTGTGCTGTATACTGTACTATTGCTGAGTTTTGTAGTCCTCTATAGTCGATGCCATTCTTCATCATTGCTGTATAATTTTACACTTTTCATTTCACTATATTGCACACCACACTTTCTTTTTTACTTCCACTGCTCCAAGCTTGCTCCTGTGATGGAGTGCAATCTCAATACAAACTAGTAGTCCCATCACTGGAGCCATTTTTAAAAATGTATTTTTATTTTTTATCCGATTAATCGAACTTAATAATCGGCAAACTAATCGATTTTAAAAATAATCGTTAGCTGCAGCTCTACATCCCGCCACACCTGCTCCTCCTTCTCCCCGCGTCCCTGTGCCGATTGTGGATGTGGAAGGGTGGGGAGGAGGTGCGGCGTGTGTGGAGCCGTGAACAGGGCCAACTAACCAGAAGCCGATTAATCGATGATTGAAAAAGTTGACAACTTTTTCAATCGCTTATAATCGATTAGTTGTTGCAGCCCTAAATGTGTTGCCCCCATAACAGGCAGAGAGAAAATTATCCAGAGTTCTGGTGACAACTATCATAGAGTTTTCCCTTTGAGATTTTTTTCACATTCTCTTAGTTTATGGGGCAGGAAGTAAAGGCAAATGTATCGGGTGGAGAGCCAAATGACAATCTTTCGCAGGTGATCCAGCAGACCTTGATCAGAGCTACTTGGGATGGAACTAACTCAGAGCCAGGACAATGACTGGTCAGAGTTGGTTCCAGTCCGGCTGAAATAAAAATGTCTGTTCTTTGAGAGAGATACCTCTGTCATTTTTACAGTGAATAACTGGGTCTGGGATAGATTAGGATTTTCTCAAAAACAATGTTCAAAGTAATGCCAGGCAATAACATTCATAGTGCTGCATGATGACAAGACTGATAGATGCAACATTTTCTCTCCTGCACACACCTTTCCCCAAGCCAAACATACCAGTCAGTATCCTGTTCTTGTGGTAACTGAA